TTTCTCTCTCTCCCCCTCCCCCACCCCATGGAAGAAATAAATAAACTTGAAAAAAAAGAACACAGTTACTTTTATATACTATCCATTAACATCCCATAGTAGCATTGTTCCACAAAACGTACTACTCAGTGCAGACATGTATCCTTTCTGGATACATAAGGACCATAGTAGGCAACCTAATGACTGCGCCATGCCCACGCCCTAATTCCTGCAACCTATGGCAAAGGAGAATTACTATTGCAGATGGAATTAAGGTTGCTAATTGGCTGACTTTCAGATAAGGCAATTATCCTGAATTATCTGGAAGGGCTCAATATAATTGGAAGGGTCTTTAAATATGGAAGACGGGCAGAAAAGAGAGACAGAGAAAGTGATATGTGGATGGAGACAGATTAGGGCGATATGATGTGAGAACGTTGTGATTTGCCCTTGCTGACTTTGCAGATGAAAGGAGCCATGAGTCAAGAAATGTGGCAGATTCTAGAAGATGGAGAAGACAATAAATAGGTTCTTTCTCAGAGTCTAAAGGAAGAAATTCTTGCCAACTGACACCATGATTTCTACCCAGTGAGACTGGGTTGGGTTTTAGAACTAAAATAATAAATTTGTGCTGTTTTAGCCACTGAGTTGGTGATAATTTGTCACAGTAGCTACAGAAGACTGATACTGAGAAACTAACACCTCCTTTAAGAACTCTGTTACTTATATTTTGTCTTTTGCAATGAATCTTATGGAATAAACATACTGAGGGGAAAGTGAATTATAATTAGTAGAAAGTCAGTATTTTAGAATATTTTTGGATAGTAATTGCAATGCTCTTTACTGTGGCTATGGGATAGTGGAAAAAGAAAACAGTATTTGCAGTTTTATTCTTTCTGTATTCTTGAGACAGTTTTTTCCAGGCTCCGTTTGGTCTTTCATAGTTATGAAATAATTATGAAGACAGTTAAGAAAAGTATTTGATAACAGGGCTTTCGAGTTACCCAGTGGGGTTGGATACCTGGCTGTGGTCTCCATTGGCTGCGTAATCTTGGGGAATTTGCCTCCTGCTTACCCTGTCTACCTTCCTCACTCTCTCCCTTCCTGCTTTCCTTTCTTTTTTATGAAAATTTGC